ACCACCGGAAATAATTAGACCGTTTGTTGCCAGATGTTTAAAAAACCAATTTCACACATTTTATCCTATTTTATAGGCGAATTGCCCTGTAATTTGCCCAACTTAATTAACTTAATCAGTGTTGTAGTAAATGTGAATAAATCTGGGTAAATCTACAAGTGATTGTTGGTACGGTCGGTTGGGGAAACGGCGATGAAACGGAAAATAAAGCAGTTAAAAACGATTAGCCGACCAAAAACGAATAAGAAGAACAATCAAAAACTAATTAGCCCGACGGTGGTAAACGGAACTGAATAAAACCGAACAAGAGCAGCAGACCGATAATGAAATACAGAAAAATGTTAATTAATGAGCGCGCATAATTCGGGGAGCGAGCTGATTACGACATAAAAATTAAATTATTATTAATTATACCCGAAAACGGAGCTTGTTAAAGTGAAATCTACAATTCTAATTAGGGGTTATTAAATGTGTGTTTCCCTGTGCTAATTGGGCAATGGGAGAATTGAGTTCAGGTTTAACTATCGGTTAAACGGCTTTTTCCAGCTTCAAATGAACCACCCAATCAAGCAATTGAGTACAGTGAGTAGATACATATTACTCACTTCCCCCAATCTATATTTAGACGTCGCTCTCTCCCCGCATTCTCTGCATTTTTTCAAACGCTGTCTACTTCAACCTAATGGCCCATTAATAAGCCGACGCTACCAGCAAATGATTAAGAGGGCTTTACCATATTTTGACGTGAACTTTGACAGCTACAAGCTATAAATAAAGGCCAAATCGCCGGAAACGCATGTATTTATGTTAGGTTAGATCCAAAACAAAAGAGGAAAAACGCTGCTTTGCATGGTAGACTGCGATTTCTAAATATAAAACAGGTGAACTGTGCTTGATATACGAAAGTAGGGATCTAGCATGCAACGTGTTTACTTTCAAGCATTTGTTTAGTGGCATTTATGTTTCGCTAATTTGCAATCAGCGATATGGAAATAATGCTGGGATTTTTGGAAATCGCCCGCATTTAATTAGATCGAGCAAATTAAGACGCTAATTGAATTGACCACCGCAGTGGTTGAAAGAGTGTAGACATTCCAAATGAAATGGGCCTGGTAAGAAAGCCATTGAGCGGTAAATCATCAAAGCAATACACAAGCCAATTATCTTTATTAGGAGAACCGAATGGAAAGCCATCGGGTATGGCAACAAATTAAAATAATAAAGCAGCGTCTTTCTCTGCGGCTGCCCGTTTAGCATTCCCCGGACTTTTTCAATAAGTAAATAAATAAATAACACGTAATCACCTTTATCTCTGCGAACGTATAACCTTTATAAAACGCTGCAAATTTATCGGACATCCAGCTAACGGCTAATAACGCTAAATTATCTCAACGTTCCATCTATTTTATAGCAACGTTATCCCCGTTTAGCACTTGCGGTACAAAGTTGGAAATGTATAATAAAATATCTCTTATTTGTTAAATTGACTGCCAGCGTATAAAACACTAGTTATCGATAAAAACAGACTCTTGGAATTGTGAATAATTATGTGTAGTCGACGAGACGATTAATAGCCCATTGATGTGCCGGATCGCATTAAAACGTTCTCTCATCATTATTTATGATTAACAAATTGTTTCTGGGAAAACAATTTTAGTTCCAATATTTGTTCAACAAAGTTTGACTATTCAATTCAACAGACCCCAATCCGACTGGACTACTACCTCGACCCTCGTATATGGCAGAATTTAATTGGATTTTATTTGGGTGGCGCTACCACGTTATTATCTCGTTAATAACTTTATTAAATCTTCTTTTGTGACGCCGACGGATCGTTTTGTCCGTTAAGAACTAAAAGCCGATTATTTAGATTTAATTTTCGTTAGTCATCGAGAACCGACTAATGACAGCCATTTTTATACTACAGCCAAGTATTTTTCCGGATAATCATATTTACCTGCCGCGTCAAAAAAGAATTTGAATTGCAATGTTTGTGCCATCGAGTTCGTTTTGTGCTGGCGAGGGTTTTAAGTACGAGCCAAAGACAAGAAGCTGCTCTCCTTTTTCCATTTTTTAAACAATTTGAGGTGAACTTGACGATGCAAAAATTGGACCAATTTTAGCTTCCAGTGCGTTTTGAGAGTTTTCAGAGTGTCTCGCACTCCTCGCCTGCTGAAGGTGAAAATGCTTTAGAGTTGGCAACAATTTGGGAGATTTTATACCTACTTTTGGAAAAAAATCGACCATCACCGTTGAGGAAATTTTAGGTCAAAAATCGAAATTTTACTCACGTGTTTTTTGAGCGCATTACATTGCTTTGGAGCTAACAAACTTTCCTATACTTTGCTCATATAACAAGTTCAGAATACAGTTAAAGATGGCGAATCGAAAATAGCTCGAAATAGGCCAAAAATCTCAATTATTTCGCCACTGAAGCTGAAAATAACGTAAAATTCGCGATGTTTTCATCTCTTTATATTTTTCGAATTAGAGGCATTTTGAGAGAATTAAAATTTTTCGAAAAAATCAGCTTTCCTCTCTTAGGTAGGTATTTTGTATAAATTTGAAAATTTAACATGCGTGCTCAATGCATAGTGTCGGATGTAAAAAGCTCTTCTATATGCATATTTAGAGTGTTTGAGTCTATAATAAGAAAAATATTATGGCTTCAAATGGACCAAAAATTCCAATTAAGTACTGAAAATTTTAAGTTCCTAGTATGTTTTTCAATGAGCGCATTGCACTCCTCACTTCCTTCGGGTAAAAACCATGTAAGATTCAAAACATTTTGAGACCTTGAATAGTTTTCGAAAAAATCAACCCTCAACTCATGAAATTTTCCGCCAAATTCGAAATTTCACATGCGTGTTTTTGCGCTGAATTTAATGCTAACAACCCAAGAAGCTTCGAAAAATGCATATTTAGGCTGTTTGACTGTAGTATAAGAAAATAATCGACGATGAAAAATCGTGGCCCACAAAAACAGCTTCAATTGGGCCAAAAATGTCAATTAATTAAAATGTGAAGCGTCCAGTGTGTATTTCAATGGAAACTTTGCATTCCTCGCTTCTTTGTGATGAAAATGTGGCAAATTCCAGACATTTTGAGAGAAATTTATATTTTCCGAAAAAATCGATGTTTCCTTATGAAACTTCCGGTCAAAAATCAAAATTTCACCTGCGTATTTCTTGAGTTTTAGTGGATTGCTTCAGACCTAAGACGCTCCTAAACATGCATATTTACAGTGTTTGGGCCAATCACCACGAAAAGATCGTCGATTAAAAATAGTGACAGCTCAAAAACTGCTTAAAATGAACCAAAAAAGAACCTTCTGGCGTGACTGCAATGATCTCATTGCATTCTCCACGTCTCAGGGATAAATGTGACAAAAAATTTGAGGCATTTTGAGAGAATTCAAATTTTTAGAGAACATGGACATTTTCGCAAAAAAATCAAAATTTCACATGCGTGTTTTTTTATTTCGATGCATAACTTCGGATCTAAGAACCTCTCCTATACCTACGCATATTTAGGTTAAAATGTTTGGTTAAAGATTGTGATCAGAAACAGCTTCAAATGGGCCAAAAATATCAATTATTTCAATTTTCAAGTTCCTACTGTTTTTTCAATGAGCGCATTGCACTCCTCACTTCCTTCCGGTGAAAACTATGTAAAATACAAAACATTTTGAAAGCTTGGGCATTTTCGAAAAAATTAGCCCTCACCCCTTTAGGTCAAAAATCAAAATTTTGCGTACCTACATGTGATATTATCTGAATTTACTGCTAACAACCTAGAAAGCTCCTAAAAATGCATATTTAAAGTGTTTGGGTGCTCCTAAAATGCAGAAAAATCGTGATCGATCAAAAACCGCTTCAAATGGGCGATGAAAATTACGCAAAATTCGAGACGTTTTGAGAGATTTGACATTTTTAGAAAAAATCTGACTCCACTCTTTTGTAATTTTGGGTAAAAAATCAACATTTTGCATGGGTGTTTTTTAACTTCAAAGGATTGCCGCGGTTCTAAAAAACTGTTTGCGTCCATAAAAAAAAATGTTAGCTTCAGTTGCAGTCTCTGCTTCCTTGCAAAAATTGTTTAGAATTTCAGGCTTAGCAAGGTTCAACCTTATTCGATTATTACTCTTTGATGCTGATCAAAACATTTCCAATCAACTGGCACCAAGCAGATGTGCAGCAGATGAGGTCATTTACATAATTTCAAAATTTGTTATAAAACGCCGTATTAAAAAACTGTTAATTTCCCATTTTACCATTGAACCACCCTCGGTATAAAAATAAATTTATTACAAATGGCCAGCGACTAATTTATTCGTCCAGCAACGGCATAAGCTTAGTGTTATCTTCGTTCACTTCGTCGATTAGAGAAAGAAACGGAGCTATTAGGTGTTTCAATTTGAGAGTAGTTAATTATAGGGCTCCCGTGATAAAATTATTAGGGCTTCGTGACGAAACCAATTAAGGTCTACTTTATCGTCGAATGGGCAGTAGGAAACACGGCAAATTATGGGGCTGCGCTGTTTACAATTTTAGATTTAGAAACGTCTTTCAGAAGGAAAAAACACAAATTAAGCCCATGTGCAATTGAGGCCATAAAAACCAAACTGTCCTTAAAAGAATACATTTTAAGTGGCCGTAAGCGACATCGTAAAACGTTATTATCTTCACACCTAAATGAAAGTCGGCTCGGAACCCTTAGCAAAACAATGAAAGTATCAACAGCAATTTCGCGGTTCTCGCCTTTAATAGCTCAATTTAAGGATGTAATTTACCAATATAATAATTTAACGGGTTGAGGAAAAATCAAGGCGATTTCACGCTCATATGCTGCGGACGTCGCTAGCCTTTGATGTACCTATGCAGTCAACAACAGGCCGTTTTTTCCGAACAGTTGGTTGTTTGATGCTAATTTGCCGAACTATTGAGTTCAACAAATTTGGAAACTCTCGGCCAATTGAATGAGAAGGAGAAGATTCTTACCGGGATTCATTCCCCCAAGCCCAAACGGTCCTGATCCCTGAAAGACCGGCGGTGGGCCTCCAAAATGGTTCATCATGTTCTGATGCGACCAATTCTGCTGGGCCGCCAAAACGGCCGCCATCGCACTAAAAGGAGTCGGCCGAATTGGAGCATGATTCAAAATCGCCTCTTTTGCAAACTCTCTTGGAGGTGCTTCAGCGTCCGGCGCCGCATCCTCCTCTTTGAGTGCGGCGCATTTTTGGTCTTGGTGCAGGTCTTCGACGTCCACAATCGAATCGTCGCCTTGGTTCGAGTCGAACTCCTCATCGAACGAGGGATTCGGACTGGAGGGCGCTAGAGTGGAGGAACTCTGCGAAATGGGCGACGACGACTTGGAGTGCCGCGTGTCCGCTAACAGAGAAGCTACACTAAAACTGATGTGCCCGTTTTTGCTAGTCAATGGCTGTTCGTTGGTCACATTGTCACTGTTGAGATTTTGCATAGTTGCGCCTCGTTTGCTGCCGACACTCTCCAGGTTTTGGATAGTCATTATTTCACTATCTGCCCGTTTTCTGAGCATAAGTGTTCGTCGTCTGCGGCCGCAACAATCCCGCCCTGTCACACTCACATGTCGTTCACGTCCATTCAATTTATTGTTTATTAATTGGCTTTTCCACCGAACACAACATACCCAACGTTGTCGGACAGAACTGACCAAATAACTGAAAGCACTTATCGAGAGGGGAATTCTTCAAGGGGCGGCAACCGCTAAAGGGGCGGGCCTTTGACTCCGCCCAACGTTTAAGCACATTATTACCCAAATCAGCCAATAAGCTTGAGTTGTCCTCAACTACTTGGTGTGGCCCAGCTGCACTCTGCGAGTTTTCGGTTGGAAGTCTCATCGTGACCGCACTGGCCCACTCTCAGCTACGTTTACCTTAATTTCCGCGTTTCTGGTTATTATTGTGATGGTCGTTTTCAGAGTTTACACTCGTTTAATGTCGAGTGAAAATCAGCTGGACAATTGTTACAACTGAGTTGTGTACCCTTAACACGTCTGTTTTTTTTTGCTAACAGCTTTCTGCTAATGTTTCGGGGATTTTTTCGTCGACCTGCTTTGCGCTGAACTTTCTAGGCGCTACAGACTCTGGAATGTAGAAATAATGGGATTTAACCAAGCATGGCTTAGTTAATTTTTGATATTTCACGAGGTTTAAGGCAAAATATGTGGTTTATGGAGGATAGCGCGCCCTCCCATTATCATTACACTTTCGAAATTTCCTGAAAGACCGATTTTCCGGCTGGCGATGGTTGGAATCAGAGGATTTTCTTGGCCAGTTTGTCGCCCTGGTCCTGATCGCTTAGATTTTTGCTGTGGATGGTCACGCAAACATCTGTTTTATGAGAAAGTTGATGTTAAAACTGTAAGGACGCAAATGTGAAAATTTGAGATAGAGTATTGTTTTCACTTTATATATTTGTTCACACAATTGTAAGCAAATATTTCTTATTCTTCCACTAAAAATGCGATAGTTGTATAAATTAGGGAATAAATTTGGTATTGAAATTGCGACTTTAACAGAGAGGCTCAAAATTAGCTCGTTCTCGTTTCGAGACACTAATCCCGCTTGCAACTGAGAGATTTTCAAAAAAAAGCTCTAATTCTCATTTGGAACTGTTTTTCGGGCTTTGAAGCCGTGGTCCATGGGAATTTCTTCCTGACGTTTCGTCCACAACTGCGGTGGACATCATCAAAGGCCTCATCGCGCTCAAAAGCGATGAGGCCTTTGATAATGTCCACCGCAGTTGTGGACGAAACGTCAGGAAGAAATTCCCATGGACCACGGCTTCAAAGCCCGAAAATCATTTCTATATGTGATTTGACCGGCCGTGAAAGCCTTCACAGCTCTTATTCTCTTCTTAACTATGTAGATGAGAATAAACTTTAGTAAAAAAGGTCTTTGCCAGCACCAACAAAGCAAATCGCTCGAAAACTTGGTTTTCGTCGAGCTGTAGCACATTTCCGCAATTCTTGGACTGTTCTCCAGTCATTGTCTACTTTGGGTAGGTAAAAAATGCAAAATAAATAAATCGCCACCCATTCTGTTGCGTTCCTGCCAAGAAAATGGTTTTCCCAGACCTGACCGGTTGCTATCAATGATCGAAAAGATCTGCATGTGAGCTCCAAGGTGAAACATAAACAAGGCCGCAGTAATTAGCCGGGCAGCGGGATAAAAATGATCCAAAAGTCGTTGGTTGTCCAGGGCCGTCGCCATCAAAGACGAAACGATGAAAATAAGCCATCGAAAGAAATGTTTAATTTTATTTCACCACGGTGCCCGGTATCGTTCCTCCGCATCGCCAGTCCCCCCTAATTAAAACATCCAAATTGCGAGAGTCCTTTTAATTACCCAGCCAATTACTGTAGTTTTTGAGCTGCTTAAGTTGTCCATTTAATAATTACGTAGTCAGCTGATTCGTATCTACGCATATAGATGGGCAATTTAAACGGTGATTCGGCCCTTGCCCCGCTGGATTTTCAAAGAACCGAAAAGCCCCCGGTGGCCCGAAGCCAGTGACGGTGAATTTCGTATTATTACCATCATCCAAAGGGATTTTTAAGCGGATCTCAAGCCGTTTGTTTGTTCGCTTGCTTTTTACTCGGGCAACGGCTGATGTGATCGAGTTTAAAGAGCACAAGCTCTAATTGGAGATTGAGTTGCTTGTTTGTCAAATCCGGCCAGTTCGGACGAAAATCCTTCTGCCTAATCCGATTAACTGTTCACTTGTGCCTATTCGTCGATGTCGTCAACATACCCGGGAAGCCTGCGGGTGATTTTCCCCAAAAAATTCGCAAGAGCAGTTAAAGCATCCAAGCCAACTTGCACTGTTCTAGAATTGGACGAGCCGACATGTCGCTAATTAACGGATATTATACACTAATCTGACATTCCGGAACATAAAACCGGACTCGAATTTGGTAAAAGAATGCCTAATAGTGTCTGACGTTCCCGCTCAAGTATCGGTTTCGGACTTATCGGAACTTTAACAACGTTAGGGATCGGTCTAAACTCGAGGTGTTTAAATTTTATTATTACGACCAATTAACGGGCTTCTTTGAACCATCGGCACTGTTTGTCTGCGGGTTGTCGACACAAAAAATCACTGTTCACTGAATCAACTGCACAACTCAACACATGTTCGGAAATACCGGAGAAAAACCTCCTTGCATGTCTTCTGTTGGGCAGTTTTCTTATTTCTACACCCAATTTTGCTCGACAAATGCCTCCAAGTCTACATCATTTTCGTCACACGGAACCGAAATGCAAAACATTTATTGACAAAATCTGCAGGTACAAGTTAGAATTTGTCTGAGGTTTCATGCTGAATAAAGAATCATCAGCATGAAAAAAAGCAACTTTTGAGCAATTGGGAAAATCTTCTAATGTAGCATTTTCCATAAGGCAGATCGCACTTCTTATCGTCTCATAGCGAGAAATCCTTCAGAAAACCACATTTTAGATATTGTTGCAAATTTTCAGTTTGAAGCCACGTTTTCTCGAATTTTGGTTTCAATTTTGAGAACAGAGTAATCTTGAACCAACGATATCTTCCTTATTGTGGCTACAAACACATTATGTTTCACATTGGGAAGCTTCTTAGCAGAAAGGCAAATTGAATAAAATTAAAAAGTGCTTTCAGTCTCCAGGTGCTTTCTTTTCTCGATCTTCGAGCTGCACAAGTTAAACCATGATTTTCTCTTCAAAAATCGCTTTGAGCAGAATTCGCGAATTTAAAGCAGATTTCTGAAAAGAGCCCTTGACTTTTCAAAGCTTTGTATTTGTCGTCAGGATTCACAAATTTAAGTTTTCTCCAAGAGCTCTGATTGCGCGATCTTCACACTCGCCCGTATGAACTTTGATTTTTCGTTTAACATCGCCTTCCGGCGAGAAATTTCAGAGTGAAAGTTTCGAAAATTTGCTTTTTTTCAATTGAATTTAAATTACCAAGTTTTCTCCAAATGCTACGACGATCTTGATAGTTCACAAGGCGATTAAGATTTTGATTGGCAATTTTTCATTGGATGTGAATTCGAATTTTTCTTCTAAAATCAGTCACCTTATCTCAAAATCGTGTTTTGCAAACTTGCAGTCACAAAAGTTTGAAGGTCGAAAGACGATTTTTTAAGCCAAACGTTATAAATGTTTTCTCTTTTGATTTAAGGTCTCATTTTTTTTGAAAAACAGCGTGTTCTATGTAGAAATGTCCTGCATAACTGTTAATATCGGGGCTGTTTTGAAAATTTTGAAATTGGTTGAAAAACGTGCATTTTCTATAAACACCGCATCTCGGAAACTTGCAATAGGTTTAAAAACTTGGACCTTATGATGATTTTAAGCTCGAAAAGACAATTTCCCGAACAAAATATTTTGAAGTTTTCCCTCGACTAACTCAGTTTCAAAATAGAACATGAAATTGTTTGCAAAGTGGGTTCTCAACTCACGGTCTATAAGAAAATTTGTAATTGCAACAGTTTGGAACAAAATGTGCTCTGAATATTGACAAGCGGAAAACTCTCAAACTTGCACATACTTGCACTCTTCACCCTATAACTCGGTCAGTTATCAACATTTTTCAGAAATTCAAAAACTCTTGCAAAGCCCAAAGATAAATTTTCAAAGATCTGAAGCGCTGGTTGTTCCTGGATACACGATTTTTTGCTACAAGTTTGGCGGCTCACCAATATTTTTTTAACTCCCAAATGTATTTTAGGAGAAACTCAATGGTTGGTAAATCGAATTGCAAATAATTAATTGGAAAAGTTGGAAATTTTCGAATGTTTTCAAAATCGCAAATGTGCATATTTTTCACTTAAGAGTCGAATTTAGACCAAAATCCCACTATTCAAAAACATCGTTTTCGTATCGAGTTTCGGAGAAAGTGTAAGTTGGAGTCAGAGACACTTCTTTGCCGCATAGACGATTTTGCTAGCAACTCACTTTTTGGTAGCATTTTAAACGAAACTCCTTCGAAAAAGTGGTTTCGGAACAGTTTTTTTCTAGTAAGGCACAAATTTTAAAGTTTTTTTAGGTACTTTCTTTCCATGGTATTCAAGGTAAACCGGGGTTTTCTCTAAAAACCCCGTTTCTGGCTGACAAATTTCGACCATCTAAACCTACCATATTTTACTCTCCACTCTAGGTGCAATTTTGCAAGTTTCCATTTATTTAAGGGCCTAAACCAGGTAAACCTACTAACAACCACGTTGAGCTCATGCGACCAGATAATCATATTTTACTGTCAGATGAGCCTTGCATGCCTATATTGAATTGCAAAAAGGCTGCAAATAATTAAAATCCAATTACACTAATTGTGTAATTCTATACTGGTAATTTAACCCAACACGGCAACGGGAAACATATGGTAGCAATTAGCAATTGTAATAAACAAACGACAATAATTGATCATTTCTGTTGCAAGCTGTGCGATTATTTCGTTCACTGATGCATATTTCATTAGAAAACAATGGGAAACTCTTAAAAGGCTCAAGTAGCTGGTTTTAATTCAGTTTTCAATGGATATTGACTAACACTAGAAGTGTGCGTTCAGATATTTGCATGCTCAAGCAACGCAACAGTGAATAACCAAAGAGCCTATTTTTCATTTTTCTCTTTGGCGTTTTCGCTATTTTATTGAAATTTTCTGAACTATTGGAAACTTCTTCGAATTCCA